TAAGCCTCAGTTGCACGAAAGTATAGAGTAATCAATTGTAGTGGCAAACTGCTTCAAATGCTTAACTAGGACACATCCTTTGGGGGTGAGCAGAAAAATTTTGCAGCCTTATTATTCAGGAGGGGAACAGATTGGACTTGTGCTACAGAATGATTACTTTGAGTTGTCACTATTCATTTAAAGTTTTGATTAAGTTGGAAGAAAAGATAATTTAGCGACAAAAGCTGATGATTATAAGCCGTTTCAATATATTTTTTTCCTAAGACTTTTTCAGTAATCTTCACGTGCCTCTGGCTTTCTAGGAGAGAGATACCATGCCTCAAATGATTATGATTAGATTTTAATAAAGAGGTGACCCTACTAATTCTCTTGATTTGGGCAAGAATGATCACCTCACCTCACACCTCGACCCAAAATTCACCCCTCTCTCTCTCTCTCTCTAACCGAAAAAGCAGTCTGCTTTTGGTTATTTACTTTATCCGCTCAGACTTGACAGAGGCAGAAATTTTCTTTTTCACAGGTATTTGATAATTTGTGCTTTTCTAAATGGTCAAATTCTTTGGTTTTACTCCACCCCAGGTCATAATAAAGTTCAAAAAGGTACTCCTTCAGCCGTGTCTTTTAATGAAGATATTACATTTCTAAAGTATAATATCATAGACTTAAGCTGCACTCTAAGTACTACTCTCTCTCAATCACACCCAATACACCATTTTAATAATGGTTTACAGTTCAGATTAAGCCATTTTGTACAAAATATATCTATTGTATTTTTAGGAAAGAAAATCATATGCATTGTCTGTTGGGAATGAGACATCAAATTATATTTTAGACCCCCAAAGCTCAATAATGTATGGTTTTGGTAGAAAGAAACTTTAGTTAATGTGGAGCCCTTTAGGAGCATAAGGCACTACACAGTGCTTGGAATCTCAGTGGCAGAGAAATTTTAGGCTTCAATTTCTTGCCCAACAACTTGCGCAATTTCAGTACAAAATGCCAACTGAAACCATCCATCTTTCTGTATGTATAATAAAGATCGAAAGTGGAATTTATTTGGGTGTTTTTGGTACGCAAAGTTGGTGTGTGAACTAGAAAATAGCCAAAACGGAGTCAGCCAATAGGTTCATTTATTTTATTTCAATGCCCTAGCCATTATTACTCGCACTAGGGGTGCCAATCGAGCATGAACAAAGAGCCACTCCTCTAAAAAATGTTTGACTCACGAGTTGAAAGTTTGAATTTGTATAGTCATTCGAGTCAACATCATAGGTGATTCATTGGTCCAAAGGGATTAGAATAAGTAAGAGGGAATGAGCTCAACCTCACCACATACTTTAAAAATTAATTTCTATATGTTTCTCAGTATCAGATATTGTAGGGTCAGACGGTTACTCTGTGAGAATAATCGAGATGTACGTAAGCTGGCTCGGATACTCACGGATATGAAATATATATAGAAAAATAAACTTTAGAAGCTCACATTTCGTTTGAAGAATTGTGGTTTACAAAGTTAAGAGGGTAGTTTGAAAGGTAATTAGATCATGATATATGAGTTTATGCAGTCATTTAAACCAATAAATTTGTGGTTGGAGAACACCTACACCATATACACAAGTCAATCTGAACTATAGAAATACAATCTATAAGCTAATCCCAACTGTCCCCTAATGGATTAGGTTCCTACAATAATTTAGAGGGCCATCACTGAAATTGGCGAACAAGCACAAGCCACAACGCCATGTTTGGTGCAATTGATAAACATTGATTACTCATATTATATTGTTGTTTTTCTTGTATTTAATATGTTATCTCAATAGTTATATACAATCCATTTTCCATGTTGACCAACCTACCCATCTATGGCTTTGGTTGCATTTTGTAGCAGTGTAATTTAATAAGTGATCAGTTGTGGAAGATGAATCTAATTGGCCTTGCTATAAGATCCTCTCTTATATACAATTAGACACTATTCTAATTGACCTCATATAATAGTGACAAATAAATCATTACTGATAGGCTTTAGAAAAATGGAGTCGGCTACATTTTCTTGAATGGTCCAAATTGCAGAAAGAAGCTGGGCTATGATTCCTAGTCCTCTTATAATTCCTTCTCATTCTAGCTGAATAATTTTAGAATGAACCTCAACTTTATCTTTTAAAGTATTGAATATTATCTGTTATTGGAATGGAATCACAAGTAGTTTATTTACGAGGAAAAAGGGTGAGGGACAATTCAGCCTAACAATAATATAGTGTTTAGTTGAAGTTATTTTGATAGTCAAATCATCGATACACATGACATAAAGAATTTTAGATTTTGGAGGACAAGAGTGAAAAGGGAGAGAGACAAGAGAAATTGTATTGAAAAAGATGAAGATCTTATTTTTCAATGCATATTTTGCTGGGTAAGATTATTTGATACGTGCAAGTAGGGTCATTATTTTTATGCAATGTGTGGATTGACTTAGTTCTAAAGAATGACTTGAATTAACCTTAGAGACAGTTCATGAGTCTCTGGTGTTCCCAATTTCTTAACTCAACATTTCCAATTGGAAAAATAGTCTCATTTGAGAAGTGAAATTGACACAATTTTTTATTCCAATTAGTATTATTTTGATTTAAAATAATTCGTGTATTTATGACTTAGGTTCATTTTGGTCATTGTACTTTCAAAACAAATTCTCTATACTCTATAACTTTTGTTTATTTAAGTTCTCATGCTCTCAAGACATCCAATTTGGTCCTTGAAAAGTGACCGTTATGATCTCTTTATTTTCATCTTGATCTCATTTAAATGAAACATAGTCGTAACTTTGTATTAAATGGTATCTATTGTGTATAAAATGTGTTAAATTTATGCAAATGAAGGTCAAATTGATCCTTTAGAAAAACATAGATCAAAATACACATTTTCAGAGTATAATAACTAAAATGAATTACAAAATATACATCAGTATAGGAACTACATATTTTAATCTTATTTTATATATTTTCTTTAAAGAAAACTTATCAAATTGAGGCAGTCTTCCAGATGACAAGAACTAGTGCTTTATGAACTGAAAACTAGTGAGACCCAACAATTTTTTTTTTTTTTGAATAATCTCAACATCTAAAATAAAAAATTGGACTTTTTTTTTTAATTGGGTATTATAAACAATTGTGTAGTAATAGTAGACCTAAAACTTGAATAATAAGTAGAGTGAGGACCCAGGAAAATGCAGTACCCAAGTCACATGCTCCACTCATTATTGGTCCAATTTGTCATACAATAGTCCATCTCAAACATTTTCAAACGTATTCTTTGAAAATTTAAATAAATACTTGAGATTGATTTTTAGGTAAGTTTACTTATTTTTGCAATTAAAAAAAATTCCTTTTGAATGCAAATCTCTAAGAATTGTTTTCTTCTACTGTGTACTAAATGACATCTTTCCATACAATTCCTAAGATTTTGAGTGCTACTTAAAAAATAAGTCATTTTAAAAAGTGAAAAATGTCACACGAAATAATTACGAGTAAACAAGTTTAGTTTTTAAAATGCAAAAAGTAAAATTCTTATCAAGTATGACCTTAGTGGCCAGCATTCCGAGTTTGAACTTCACTACCACAAAGATCATTGCTCAGCACCGCTCGAGCTAACAAATACTTTAATTTTCTTTTTTTTTTTTGGGTAAATATATTAGTTAACAATTATTGATTTTTTTTGCAATAAAATAATTAATTATAACTAAACAAAATGCAAGTTCATATTAATGAAGTATATAGCTCAATAGATTAATAGGTATTTTCTAACCTTAGGAATAATTGATCATTCACGTAGCTTAGTAAATTAATTATGTAAGTATCTTAAGTGAAATCAAAACATGTATTATTATTTGCATATTAAATGTACAAATGAAGAAGGAAAAGAAATATAGAAAATGGAGGATGAAAAGTGAAAATATAAAAAGTTGGGGGAGGAAATAAGAAAATAAAGGAAAGTGAAAGTGAAGCCGATTGGAGGCGGGAAGCCGAGCCGAGCGAGAAAGCGAAGCTGGCTGAAGCCGAATGGTTGTATCTGGGAGGACCGGCTTAGGCGGCTGGATAAGAGAGCCGCAGCGGGAAACTCAATTATTAATTATTATTTGGCGAGACCCTTCCTTTTTTATTATTTATTTTTTTATTTGGACTTTAGGACCCATGGTAAGTGCGCAGTGCACCTTCCCACGCCCAATTATTACCCCATGGTACCGAATCCAGGCCGTAGAAGGAAAAAAGGCATCGTCGTTTTCTGAGCGTACACGTGCCTTGATGATTTGGTTTCGTAACGTCAGAACACGCCTATGTGTATGAGTGACCGTACCTGATTATGATTGGTCAAAAACGTCAACGCTTTTCCTTTGGTTTAGACTTCAGAGCGCCTCTGTAAATGATGCCATCTTCATGCATAAATGATTGATGATGTAGAGCCACTTACGACGTCGTTTTCCACTTCATTATTCTTGTTCTTTCTTATTTTTTGGTTTGATATAACTCTTATTTTCGTTAAATTATTATTAACAAACAATATCAATGTTATTACAATTTCAAATAAGTATACGTTTTTGAACAAGAACTAAGGAGAGAAAAATGTGCATGCTCATATGTATGTGTATATATCGTGACTTGAGAAGATTATAAATAAGAGATGGCAGGATCAAAACGAACACAGCTCAACGGTAATTGGTATATACCTTCAACCAAGAAGTTGTGAGTTCGAATCCTCTGTATAGACAAAACCCTAGCTACGTGTTGCTTAATTTCGATACTTGATTCAAAGAACTTTTCACATTTAAAAAATAATAATTTTTGATACGTCAAAAATTAAAAATAATGGAGAGAAAAAAGATGAATTTCAAAGCAAATTAAAGTTTCGAGGGAGGAACAGTTTGATTCTCTCTTTTGATTAAGTATGAAAATCTAATCATAAATGATACAGCACATATAAAAACTTTTGATATAGTAAACAGTAGTTGTCTTCACTGATCTGAGCAAGCTTTGTTATTTCTACTCTTAATTAAAAAGGAAAACCATATTTAATTAAGCATATAATTAACTTCTTCAAACGTTAATTCTATAATTTCTCACTGGCATAAGTAAACTTGAGAGCAGAAGCTTTGTTGAACTTCAAAAGCTAGCTCCTCCAAACTTAGCTGACATTCAAGCCCTATCTGCATCCAGAAAATCAAACAATTCAGCTCCGAAAAAGAAAACGAGCAAAGACGATCGTCAGTAAAATATCGACTTAATTCGAATGCTCATTCTATTAAGAAAATATATGATCAAAGTCTCGTATTGATCCTAACAAGAGAAAATAATAGGTGATCTAAGTAAATTTATATAGATTTATATTTGAAGTAAATGGGGTTGTGTCCTCAAAAGTTTGGATTAATTTTAGCATTATTTAAGACTATGGAAGAGTAATTCAATCAATTTTGTGTATTTTTCCATCATATTTGTAATGGGTATGTGCATGCATGCATTTAATATAATTCTAGTTGCTGAAGATGAATTCATAGCTAAAATTGAAAACCCAGAACCCTAGCCAAAGCCCAAATCTTAAGATTGCTGAACTCACTTCCAAATTACTCAAGAAATCAAGAGAAAATGGCCATTGATTTCTTGAACCCTACTATGATCACATGCCAAAATATTGTTAAAGGAATTTATTTCGATCTCATATATATGACTGTAAATTTAAGAGCCATTTGGTTTTACAAATATTTTGTTCATTAATTAGTTTCAAAATCCTAAATTGTTGATCAATACTTTCAATATATATGCATGTGGCATGAGCTTTTGAAAATATTGTTGATAAATTAATTATTGAGTTTTATATTACCCACTCCCAATCCCTCCAAAAGCTTTAATTCCTGTCTAAAATTGACAATTTTGAACAGAAAAAAAAGGGGTACTTAATAGTAACAAAAGTTATGGAATTTTAGGGTTAGAAAGAAATTAGGGTTTCAAGTCTCATTGTAAAATCCCCAATCAAAACCCTAACAAGGCCAGTTAGCCCTATTTTTTTTTTGTATACCTTGACAACGAAAGAGTATAGAACAGTGTCATCCATGCTACTGACGTTGAGATGAAGAACCTCAAAGGAGAGCCCCTCCAAGACACTAATCATCTTCGAAAGTTGCCCGGGAATTCGCCGGGAAATGATCTTCAGCAACACGTTTGATCCCGAAATCTTCGCTTCAACATCCGCAACCGATGAGTTGCAAGAAGCTCCAACCTCACCTGCGTTGTTCTCGAACCCAAACAACCCGTGATCGGCAACCACCACTTGCCGCCTCGGACTCGGACCAGGGCTAGGGCTTACGCTCTTCCTCCTCCGCTTGTTCGACTCTAATGACTGCAGAACTTGGTGCAACTCCTTGATGAACTCAATCACTCCCCCTATAATGGACGCTTGATCTCCCTAATAAAACACAAAACCAAGATAAGAGCGAGAAAAAAGAGAAACAGTTCACCGTAGTACCTGCCACATAATGTGGCAAAACCCCTTCTGGCCCAATATAAATTTCTCTCTAATTCATTGAACAATATATAAAACCGTCAACCACATTGCTCCAGCTCCCCAAAACACATTTCTCGAGCGAGAGGAGAGAAAAAGAGAGACCCTTTTGATATAGAAGCAAGGGGTCAAAGATCTCAAAACCCTAAGATGTTCATTCATCTGCCTTCTCCTGTTTCTCTCCACAGCAATATGAGCCATATGATCTCTGTTTCTTGTTGATCGCCAAGATTTGTTGATCAATTAGGCACCAAAAAGAGAGAGAAAAGTGAGCAGTATTTATATGGATAACAATGCAGGAGGCCAAGTTGGTGGGGGGTTTTTGGCAATAAATGCAAAATGCTGCAGTCTCGTGAGAATTTTTTCACTTTCTTTTTGGTTTCATAATTTTTGCCTCTGTAATATGTGCATGTATTACGCGTCTCACGCCTAATAGCTTGCCCTCAATTACGTGCCCTCGTGAGTTAAAAAGATTTATTTCTTTCTTTGATTTGCCTTTCTTTTATTATTTCCATGCAAAACTACTTCTTTCTCATTATATCTCTACGTACGTGTGGATCAAGGCTGAGGTGTCGATACACATGTTCGATAAATTGGAATTGAAGGGTTCGATATCGATATGTGGGAGTACTATTAACGTATATTCTTCTCTTTCTGTTTTCGCTCTTGAAATATGTGTAATAGAGAAGTCGGTAATATAAATATAAGTATTGTAAGTGGTTTGATAAATCAAAGTATTTCTCCTAAAGGCATGGGGCCTTCTAGTATCGGGTACGATGTAATATTGTGTTCAAGTGAGCTTAATTTTATAATGACATCTTCGTACTCAACTCTCTTTGTCACTTGAATTTCAGTTCCCTTGATAATGAGAGTAAGACAAGATTTTTAAAAGAATTAATAAATGAGATGAAAGTTTGTTATCTTTTATACCAAAAAGCACCTTAAATAGAAATATCGATAAAATTTGAATTCCTTTTAGTACAATATAAGGTTAACCGTGCATGATTGAACTTTTGACCTCGAGGAAGATAATAATGCCTAGCTTTTTCATATTCCTATACGTTCTCATTCAGCTTACACGCCTGGCATAATTGGGGATTTGCAAATAATTCTCACAATACCGGTGTAAGCAATAAAATGTTTGTTTTGTAACGTTCTCGTTTCTTGTCTCTGTTGCCTATTTTTTAATAAAGAAAAATAAAATGGCATGGCCTTCAACACTCATGCATTCAAGAATGATACAACAAAATTTTTATTTACATAGGAACAAATTGGAAACGGGAACAAAAAACAAGAAATTTGTTTTCATTGTTTCCAAAATTTATATACAATTTTGAGATTGTTTCTAAAAAATAAGAAACAAAAAACATAAACAGCTGTTAGAGAACATTATCAAACGTGCTCAAAAATCTAAAAAAAAAGAATCTAGAGATGACCTTTTTCTCCAACCATAAGGGATAAGTTTATAATTTTAAATTGACTAGAGCATATCTCAACTCATACGAACAATTTACATTAAAAAAATGTACTATTTTTTTCTTAAAAAAATCCAATGTCATGAAAGATTAGTCACGGAAAAACTTTGCAACACAACTCATTTTTTCAAAAAGGCTAATTGGAGAAGAAATGACCCTATTAAATATAAAATAAAAACTAAATAGAATACAAACCATGAAATTATAAGTCAAAATATGTCTATTTCAGCGGTAATTGACATAAATCTCCAACCAATAAGTTATGAGTTCGATCCCTTAGTCCTACATGTTGTACTAAAAATACCGTAAAATTACAAAAATAATTGAATAGAAATTTTATTCACATTATCAACTTCTAACAAATCGATTCTTCAGTTTGGCATATATATATTAGTGATTATTAGTCAATTTTGATTTACAAGTATATCAACTATGATTTAACTTGTCGTAAAAAAAAGAAAACCCATATTTTAAAAATCTAATTAAAAAAACTACCACTAAAAATAAAATTTTATTTCTTAAAATGAATTTTGGGCTTTTGGGCCTTGGGAGATTACTGAAAGTTTTCAATTGTGGGCTCGGCAGCCGTGCAGCTAGCCCAAGTGTGTTTGCAATAAAGACATTTTTTAAGGCAGGAATTTTTCCACTTTTAAAATATTATTTTTAAGATTTTGAAAATTATTCAATATTTGGTTATTAAAAAAAGTTGAAACACTTAGAGGAGTGAGGATACAAACCTCTGATATATCTTACAAGTTGAATTCTGCTCCACTTTGGATACTTCAAGTTCTCTTTTAGTTAATTTAATCTTGTTTTTATTTAGGTGAAAGAAATTTAACACATAAATTAACTTTTTCTTTTTCTTTTTTAATCTCACTTAAATTAATTTTTTATATTTCTAACATATAAATATAGTATTTTTTTAGATGTACCGATTTTAGTAAGTTACGTTATAATCTATTTATCATGGTTACGAAGTTTATATATACAACATATTTATCCAAACAGATTTATGTATTGTGTTGGATTATAGTTTTGGCTTTCTTTTTTTTTCTAATACTTTTTTCAAACGAAAGTTGATATTTTTCATCTTTATAATTTTAGAGGCTTATCAATTATGGAGGTTGTGCTGCTGGTCAATAAATCACTGCAACTTGTTTTCTTCTGCCGACAAAAGCATTTCATAATTATCGTTTATATTTCTATTTCATAAATTAGATATGCATAAATAAAAAAAATAAAAATTGAGATTACCTTTTCTCTTTCAAAAGTTGATAATAACTTTTTTTTATTACTTTTGGGGAAATTAAGATTTTAATATAATTTCAATTTTTAAATTAGAATACTAAAATAAATTTCATAGTACTTTAACTTTAATTGTACATATATATATCTAGCTCGAGGTACACCATTTTTAAAAGCTTTATTTTTTAATGAAATTTCTTAATCAAATGGGTAATCCATCGATCATGTTTGCTAAATTAAACTTTTGATTTAATGAAGGTTTAAAATCACTCTAAATTTTTCTTTTGAAGATGATTTTGGAAAATCAAGGAATGTACTCTTAAACAAAAGTATTCAATGGTAAAAAAATTTAACCAACTTCTAAACTTTTGTCTTTAAATAATGCTTTTGTTTTAAACTTGTTTGTAAAATAAACTTGTTTTCTATTCCAATGTATTGTTTCATATCATTGACATTTGAACCAGAACATTATGCAATTACTGAAACGTATCAAACAGAGCCTCAAATTATTGTATATATTCCAATGGCCAAGAGAGCAAATTTTGTCTATGGTGATGTGATGGCCTTAACGTTGGTTTAATTAAACCAACGTTATTTTGGAAATAAGTGGCGGTGGCAGAAGATCTTGGTAGGAGGGGAGGAGGAAAAGACAAAGTGGGATGGGAGAAAAAGACAATGAAAAAAAAATTGTGGGCATCCCACGTGTCTATCATGCCCGTTCGTTATCTCTTGATGAAACGATCGCATTTCGTGACAAGATGGTCGCCTGTGTTGGTTTTAAAAGTAATTTCCTGTTGGCGCCACGTACTATGTATGGTCGAGATGATTAAATGACGAAACAAAATTAAAACATATTATTTTTTAAATAAGTTGTGAAAGTTTGCATTTAAATTTGACCCTAAACTTAAATAAATATCATAATTTTAATCTCTAAATAAAAATATCTAAAAAAAAACTCACTAATTTAATAAAAATCAAAATTTTCACATTGTTACACAAAATCTCCTTTAAATAACTCTACCAAAACTTATCAATTTAAGTAAAAGTAAACCATCAAACTCTAATATTTTATCAATTATTTCATAATTATACCTATTTTCTAACTCATTTAACAAATAAGAATATTTTTCACAAAAATTTCAAATGAAAATCGATTCAAGAATAAAATTTACATGTGAAAATTTTATAACATTTGTGTAAAATACAAATGGATACAAATCACCATATTTTTATTTATTATATTTATATGCATTGGTGACCAGCACGAAATCCTTGGATATGCTACCGTCTCTAATCATATTATTATTTTTATGATATGATTCTATAAATGAGTAGATTATAGAATATGATAAATGTAGGTACGTAATCCAACATATTTTCAATAAAGTCAACTTGATTTGACATTAATATGCTTTAACATAAGATATTATATTATTTAATTAATATGCTGTTACATCGTAAGTTATCCACACGTAAGATGCTGATTCTTCCTTCACAATCTTTTCTCCACGTCTATCATTCATGGACACCTATTTTATTTTTTATTTTTTTAACTTTTGGTTATTGTAGTTTCAATTGCTAGATTTTTTTTATTTTTTATTCTGTATTTTGTATTTTTCACATCTCAATTGCTAGATTTTCATATAACTATAAATGTATCACTCAAATCGTAACAAAAAAATTTATGCGAGTTAAGTGGTAATTGATATATATCTCATACTAAGAGAGTGTGAATTCGATCATCCCCTCCTACATGATGTTGTACTAAAAAAAATAAACAAAAATTTTATATAATTTATGTTTTATCATCCACGTGAGATACAATCTCCCCAATTAACTTCATCAACTTTTAAATTATTATTTGATTATTTTTCTATGTTAAAGATTCAATTATTATTTCTATAGTAATGTAGAGATTAAAATGAAAAACATATACATATAAGTGTTTAGAATTTATAAAATTCCAATTTTTAGGTGTGCAATGTATCAGTAACGATAAATTAGTTCTTTTATGAATTGACTCATCTAATCTTTAATCTATTGTATGTTTAATATGTAGAGCATAAACCATATATTGCATTTTGTGAGACAATACGACTAAATCTTGAGTATAACACTTGTTGATATCATTTGCTAGAATAATTGATATCTTCCTATTTCTACAGTTGTATGATATGGTTCACTCTCAATTTCACTGGCACATGCATTTATTTTTAGTTTCACAAAAAAAAAATAACAATAATAGGGATGTGAACTTTATTTATATATCATATATCTAATAGAACTATGTTTACATTTTAATTAATATAGATATTTAAACGAACTATATTTGTTTAAAATATAGATTATTAACGTCTTTAACTAGTCTGATCTTGATATGGAGTGTCATCATTTCAATATCATTTTTTCACATTTTACCATAAGAATTTGATTTTAAAATTTATTAAAATGAAAATAAAGAAAATAGAAAGGTTATGAACTTTTTTTATAAATTATAAAGTATTTAATTGATCTCTAATCTTTAAATTTTGTGTCTAATTTATCACTTAACTTAAAAAAATGTCAAATAAATCTTTGAGTTTTTAATTTTGTGACTAACCAGTCTTTATATATTTTTAAAAATTTTAAAAATAAGGAATCAATTAGATATAAAATTGAATTTTGTAAGTAAAAAATCTTAAATTTTTAATTATAGATATAATAAATTATTTATGAATTTAAGAAAATATTGAATAAATCGATTTATTATATATAAATTAAAAGTTTGGAGCGTGTAGATACATGATTAGAAAAAATGGGTACTTTTTAAACGGATACTTTTTACAGGTTAAAGTTTTGTAATTTAACGAAAGTTGAAAACTTGACCAATAAAAAAAAGTATACTTTAATTGAAAAAGTAAAATTGAGTGTGTTAAATCATCACTTAATTAATTTATGTTTTTTTTGTTAAAAAAAAAAGTCCGGATCTAATAGTGGCAAATGGCAAACAGCTGGCTTGTCAGAGGCTCCACGTGGGCTCAAAGCGCCAACGGTTTCCATTTGCAAACTTGCAAGACTTTTCAAAGCCTTCCAGATTTGAAAAATAATTTTGAATAGGCTAAATTAAAAAGTTTCAAAAATATTACTATTCTTCATATTTTAATACTCTTTCACACACGTTTCACATGTACTTTTTTTTATTTGATTATTCACGAATAAGTGACTTTTGACGTTTATATCCCTATATCTGAGATATACATATTAATCTTAAAAAAAGTGGCTACTAAAGTTTAGTTCAATACTAATTGATATATATATCTAATCAATAATTCATGAATTCAATTTGTACACACCACTTATTATAATAAAAAAATCTAAAATGACGTAATAAATAATGTGAAAACTTTTCCAATATTTATCCAATTTTGTTATAATCACTCCTCTCACATGTTATAAATAAAAATCATCATTTATAATATCTTTGAAATAAATATTAGTTAATTTTTTTACCACTAGTTGGTTGCGGCAGAATGGAAATTGTATCTAATTTTGTAATAATCACTTGCCTCATTGG